TATATAGAAAGAAAGAAAGAAGACAACAAACGAAGATTGAATTAATAAATGGTACCAAAAGAATGCAACAGAGCATCAGACTCGAGGGTTTAAAATCTATAACGTGAGTAACAGTATTAGAAGAAAAAAGGATATCAGGATCATAGTCTGTTCGATATTCATCACGCACCTGTGTACAAAAAAGCAAAAGAAAATAAACAGGAAGTGATGGTAAACTCCGAGTCGTGAAAGTAACATAGGTCAGAAACAGTACCTGCCCACCACTTCGACCACGGCCCCATTGTCTGCCATCCTGAAATCCCCAATCAAAATCCACACGAATAGGACGATCATCAAGAATTGTTCCACTTATAAATTTAACAGCATCCTCAGTATCCTCCCGAGAATAGTATCTAATAAAGGAAAAGACAAGATAAACAACAATTAAGAGATTTTCCCATAATTTGAAAGGCTTAGTGGCAGATATATGCATATAATTTCTTGCAGGAATGAGTATGAAAGGCATGAAATGAGCTAACAGTCTCAAGTTTAAAATGCACCCATTCCTTTAAAATTTTGGAATGAAATGGATCTAATATTGATCATTCAATTTCCACCCAACCACCTTCAAATATTCAAAATGGTTTGCACTAAGAAGGGTGGTGAAATCGTGGGAAGGCATATCAAGCGGTATCAATGGGAGGCCTATCAACAATGGCAGACTATTGATAAAAAGTACATCAAGATATTCTACTAGTTAGGAAGAGCTATGGAGTCTTACAGGACAAAACAAAAGCCACAAGGTGTTTTTGAATTCTTATCCAAACCCATGATTATCTTCTTAATTTCTCCGGCTCGAGAAAAGAGCTCATAAACTTGTTCTTCAGTCGTATAAAAGGACATATTTCCCACATAAACGGTGGTTGAAGACAGCAGTGCATGTTCAAATTCATCTTGTGTTCCCTGAAATCTTCTATCCCGATAAACAGAGAGCTTTGATGGGTCCTACAGATGATAAAGTTGGAAGCACGAAGATTGTCACATATAGAATCATAGAAACATTATCTATCATCTAATTACATATACGCAACATTGTTCATTCCAATAGATTTCCCAATCAAAGTAATTGAAACTTTTAATGCTCTTCAATATTTAAGCCACAATGGCCACACAACCATAACATCCATCAGAAGCTATAGAACGAATATCAAGAACAAAACCATTTATCCATTTTTTTGATTGGGGATTTATAAAGGACCGGGGGAGTAAACGTAAAAGCCAATTTGAAACACCTGCAGCCAACTCCACCGTCCCCCAAACTAAGAGGGCAACAGTTGGTACCAACATAAGTCTCGCAACGAACAAAATCAATCGAAACAAAACTTTTCCCTAATCCAATTCATATAAACTCTCAAACATGCCCTAATAGAACTAGTAAAGACGTCGTTGATACACCCCAGAAACCCAATGGAGCAGAAAACGAATTGACTATAAAATTAAATAAACAACGAAGCAATTTACCTTGAACAGTGAAGCCATGAACCCTAGAATAACAAAATCTGCGCTACAACTCGAAACCCCACTTCAGCCGAAGTAACTATAGCATTATATTTCAGAAATTAGGCAATAATTTAATCACGAAGATCGAGAAACGGAAGGGAAAAAGGAGGAGGTAGAGGCACAGAGATTAGAGGCGCTTCAAATCAAAGTAGCAGGTGATTTTGGGATTGGATTTTGCCTAAGAGCTGAACTCGTTGGGTGCGCTCAGTCGCCCAATGCTGCTCGCGCACTTCTTCCCTAGCGCTGCGTAATGCCATAATAAGGTTTCTTTTATTAATTCAAACAATTTTCATCCATTTTCACTATTTTTATTAATTTTATTTTTATTAAAAAGGCCTTGGTTTATGCATTATTTACTGAAAGAAAGGGCCTCGATTTTAGAATTATTACGAAATCACCCCTTTCCAAGGAATTATTCCCATAGTAGAAACCTCTTAGACTGGAAGTAGGGTTTTAGCGTTAACCCTCGCCGGCAACGAAGCAAGACTCGAGTTCTTTCAGAATCTATCATTTCTTCTGAGTAACAATGGCCTCAATTGGCGCTAGATCCGTTTTCCGATCACTTTCCGGCTCTGCTCGCCGTGCTGCTGCTCACATTGGTTCTCAAGCCCGTTCATCGTCAGGCTCTCCCTTTCGAATGGCAACTAACAAGCCCCTCTCTCATCGAACTTTCAGGTGCGTTGACTAACGTTTTTGCGTCCATGAAAAGCGCGAAAAGATTCCGAGTCAATCGCTGTTTGAGTTTTTTTCTTTTCCTTCTCTTTCTCCAATTGGAGAAATGTTTCAATAATATGTATGGTGATGTATTTGGCTTATGAAGGTGTGCGGCTGAGATGAGCTTCTGTTTGGAGTCGATAATGCCGTTTCACTCTGCGTCGTCGGCAGCTTTGATGATTTCAATGCTCTCTATCTCACGCCGCAGCTGCGGTTGGCTTCCCGAAGGTGCGCTAACTGATAATTTAGTTCTCAACTTTCTTGATCTGTCATGAGCTAGGTCGATATAGGAAAGGACTATATAATAATTTTGTACAGCTTGTAAGTGATAATTTACTGGAATTTCAGCTTAATAATTATTCTCAAGAATCAAGAAAGGAAGTTGTAGTTCGAGTGGGGGTACTGATCAATTATATTTAGAAGTACTGATATCTGTATTACAGTTTAGTGGATACATTAGCCCCCATTAACCGCATGCTTCTGGAGGAAGAAAGATCCATGCTACCATTCTTTGATTAAATTTGCTAACGTCTATGAACCATCAGGAGCTACACCATGAAAATATTTCCTATGGGTTAAATTTAGTGCCAATACGGGTTATCATGCCAAGTAGCTTGTAATTGTTCATAAGAATTTCCTGCGTACATAAAGTTGGATCTGTTAACTCTAGTGATATGATATCTCTTCATGAGCATTTCTTACTATTAACTTGTAAACATAGATTCTTTATCCCACTCCGTAATTATCTTGATTTCATGTTTTGAAAGCAGAAGTGGATCTTCTTCTAGGTTGTCTAACTAGTGGATTTTTTTACTCTTGAATTAGGTAGCTAGCACACTTTATAGGCCCATTGATGTTCTTCTTGCCTTCTTGTTGCTCTGGTGAGTTGGTGCCCATGAACTTGTATAAAACAGATACAATTGAACGGAATTATATAATAACATGCATGCATAATAAGTTGATCATTTTTTCCTCCTAGTGGACAGTTTATTACATCAAGTGGCTATCTCAAATTAAGATGCAAACAAGCTTAACAGACAATAATGTTTCGTTCTCTCTTTTCTTCGCCCTTCCTGTCCCGTACTTGGATCAGATTTAAGACCTAAACCTTCTCTTTGTAGTTTTTTATTCTTACTAGAATAGGTCACTTATGAGAAAACCTTCCATTCTTTATTCAAATTGTTAATTAAAAACCTACATTCCCCTGTTTTATATGTAGGCAAAGACAAGACTAGATGAGGATCGGGAAGCAGGAAGGAATGACTCTTGAGTTGTTTTCTGAGTTTCACCTTTTAAGTCCTAGGCGTTGCATACCCCCCTGCCCCGCCCTTCAGACAAAAAAGAATAAAAAAACCATAGGCGATGATATCATCAATAGGTTAGATGAGATTATTGTATTTGGAATGAAGTAATAGACTGTGGTATTCTATTCAGTTCTTTGTATTTGTAGATTGTTGTCTTTTGAAGTGTTATGGATTATTTATACAATTTAATTCTGCAACTATATGGGGTTACAGATTACTAGATCCTTGCCGAATAAATTTTGCTTCTAAATAGCTTATTGTTTGCTGTTTTGCAAAATTTACTTTGATCTCAAGTATTTGGTGCACTACTTCATATAGATGGGGGTGGCAAACTCAATTATATTACTCTGACCATCAAGTACCATGGAAATCAGAGTGAAACCAGGGATATAAAGAAGAACATAGGCTAGACTTTATTAGTAACAAGTAAATCCTTTGCTTTGGACATAAAAAAGTATCAACATTTTGGGGGGCTAGAGACCCATCGCAAGGTCTTACACGACCCAGAAAGCACTTGAACATTATCAACTTTGTAAGTCTACTTGGGTATTGAGTATTTATATATAAGAACAGAACTCCGTGCAATGGATAATTGTAACTTCGGAAAACATAATCTGCTATGCTCACTTTTTTCTTACATTTAATCAATCATTTATTTTATATATGCTTGGATATGGATAAGATGATTTACTTGATGGGCAAGGTGTCTGGTTCAAGTCTAGGATGGCCGAGTTGTCTAATTAAAAATGGAGTTATCCTCTTTACTAGTCTTGAGCTCTTGAAGTCGATAGATAGTTATCAATGTCACCAAACAAGAAGTTTGCTGTTACGTATTTCTAGTTCTTGCTGTCTGACTGTCCTTTGTTTTGTGTTCTAGGGCGGTGATATTCAATCAGCTTGTCTAACATGAAGGCTTGCCACAATGTTGAACTTGCCATTTTCATCACCTGTCTGTACCTCAAGCTGTCTTAATCTATCTGAGCTGTAACAGAATCTTTCCGTATCCCATCTTTTTCCCAGATGTTCTAATTTCTGTTTCCTGGCTTTTCATAGGACATGATTCAATATAGATAGATCGTCTGAACACTCCCTATTACATCTTCTTTTGATATAATACTCAAAATCAGAATCTAGATGTGAGAACAGCATACGGTTTTGTGATTTGTCAAGTTTATCTCATTAGACCAAATTTTGTTTGTCTGTTTGTTTTTTTGCTCCATGTTCTAATTTCAAGCCAAGTTTATCTCATATGCACTCTGATTCGTTAGATGTAAGTTCATCTCATATGCACTCTGATCGTTAGATGTGAGAACGGAGTTTGTTAGTCATAGTTTTAAAGTTAGAATTTAATCTTTATAGTTTGATAAAAAATTTTAAATAGTTTAGGACTAATTCAAGCATTTAAAATTATAAGGGTTAAATTAAAAAAAAAGATCACGGAGATGAAATTTCCATTCAACTTTTTTACGAACGTCGCTGCTACACCATAATTTTCGAGCAGGAGCTGATTACATCGGTATTTGGAAACGTGAAGCCATGGACAGTGAGCAGTTGCAACCCGTTCAAGTATGCGTTTGCATACGGCAACAAAGTAGCTTCGACCACAGTATGAGCAACTGGCTGCGAATTTGCAACGTCGATGGATGATAAGTTGGCTTGAAACAGAACGACTTGTAGAATGTTCTGAATTAGGTGCATATGCAGATTCCCAATATTGCTCCACTCCCATAGCATCTCATATTTCGTACGGAAAATGGTTAAGGATTGTTGGAGAAGGAGTCCCACGTCCCTTAATAGAAGGGTTGATCATAGGTTTATAAGAACTTTTTGGAGAAATAAAAAACAAAACCACGAGAGTTTATGCTCAAATAGACATCGGAAAAAGTAAAGTTCAGCCGAAGCTGAAATGTTGATGAAGAAATCTTGACCTTAGATGTTTGGCTACAATATAGCAGGTTGATGCATGAATGCAAGTAATGATATCCCGATCCTTCACCAAGAAACCCTTTGTGATGCACGCATCTGGTATCCATTCACCTTCTTCTACTACGCTGATTATAAAAAATCTGGTGCTCTGAAATTCTTCTGACTGGAGGAGAAGAAAAGGAGATATTCAAGCTCATGTCAATCACAATTTAGTGCAGAAAAGCTACAAAACTCATTGGTAACAAAACCGAATAACTTACACAAACTTAAGACTGAATTCTGAGATGATTTAGAACTCTGTGATAATCCCTAACCAACAAAGCATACACCTGAACAGAAGAAGCACGTCGTTTATCAGAAATCTCCGCTGGAACAAGCCAAGTACTATAGCAATTGAACACCCGAATCACCCGGTTTGACATCCGAGGAAGGAATATCAACGCTTCCAACAATTGGGATTTTGACAGTCTTTTCAGATTCGGCCAAATTGATCGGAATCACACAAGAAATTGCCTTGCCAATCAGCAACCCTTTTGGGATATGACCGCAGATGTGAAGCATTGGGTCGACGAGCAAGGCCCGCGATGAACGAGGAAACGAAAATCAGAGGAAAAGCTACATAAGGCAGCTTGGAAACTTGTTACGGTGAAATGAAAGTCACTTTTCTCGTGGGGTTTGTACAATTACTGCCCTTTAGCGTATTATTGCTCCTAATTCCTCCTTTTGTGGTCAAAGTTTCACCTTGGCTATTCGCCTCCGCCTGCGCCTACAAATAAAGAAGAAAAAAAAAGATTGCCCCTCTTTCCCAGCGCGCGAGAAACAAAGGGGTTGCGAAGATGGCATTACAAACTGGGGTTTCAACGTCCAAGGTTCTCATCCTCGTTGGAGCAGGTTTTTCCCATTTCCCATCTCAGATTTTACCTTTTACGATCTCATTTATGCTACCATCGATGTTCTTCTCTGACGACTGTTGGGTTTGTGTATGATTCATTAGGGTTAACTGGTTCTGTTGTTTTAAGAAGTGGGCGATTGTCTGATTTGATATCACAACTTCAGGAATTACTGAAGGGTGTGACGGAGGAGGACCTCTCTCCGACTCCTTACAAGTATGATACTGCTGTTCTTGCCGCCCAGGTTTGTACTTCGATTTCCTTCACCACAAGTTTAGAACTCTATCTGTTAATTGGATTCGTTGTTCTATAACTCATATTTGTTATTGCTTTGTAAACTCATTCAGATTCGGCAACTGGCTCAAGAGATCAGGGAGCTGACAGTATCTGGTCCTGTGACTGTCTTTAATGGCAACTCTGCTTCTAGCGGTATGGAATCTTTGTTTAAAAATTATGGTTTTTAGTCTTCTTTCTCTGTATGTTCTTATTCAAAAATATTATGATCATCCATTGTTAGTGAAAAGAAAGAAGTGTAAGTTTCAGAAGAACTGAAACACTGAAAACTTTCTGAATTTAGCATCTCTGGTTTTGCTTGGGCTTAGTAACCTTTTTTGAAATTCCTGAAGCTTGGCTCTTTTGAGTTTTCAACAAAGAAAAGTATCTTTAGGTGATCAAATTTCATGAAATTTGGGATTGTGAGATTCCACATCGGTTGGAGAGGGGAACGAAACATTCCTTATAAGGATGTGGAAACCTCTCCCTAGCAGACATGTTTTAAAACTTTGAAAGGGAAGCTCGGAAGGGAAAACCCAAAAGGACAATGTCTGCTACTGATGGGCTTGGGTTGTTACAAATGTGATCAGAGTCAGACACTGGGCGATGTACCAGCGAGGAGGTTGAGCTCCGAAGGGGGTGGACACCAGGTGGTGTGCCAGGAAGGACGATGGGCCCCGAAGGGGTGGATTGTGAAATCTCACATCGGTTAGAGAGGGGAACGAATCATTCTTTATAAGGGTGTGGAAACCTCTCCGTAGCAAACACGTTTCAAAACCTTGAGAGGAAGTTTGGAAGAGAAACCCAAAAAGGATAATATCTGCTAACAGTGGACTTGAGCTGTTACAAATGGTATCGGAGTCAGACACCAGACGATGTACCAGCGAGGAGTTTGAGCCCCAAAAGGGGTTGGACACCAGGTGGTGTGCCAGCGAGGACGTTGGGCCCTAAAGGGGGTGGATTGTAAGATCCCACATCGGTTAGAGAGGGGAACTAAGCATCTTTTATAAGGGTGTCAAAACCTCTCCCTAGCAGACATGTTTTAAAACCCTCTGAGGAAGTCTGGAAAGGAAAACTCAAAGAGAACAATATCTGCTAGTGGTGGGCTTGAGTTGTTACAGTACGGATGTATAACTGTTTGTTTGATAACGGAAAGAGAACGGTTGGTTTCATAGTCTCCTACCCAATCACATCATGTTGTCTGAATCCAAAGTTTCAGGCCACTCAAGCTTAAGCTGGAAAAATTCTATGGGATATGTCTGGAACCCATAGAAAAGCTCGTGATGCCCAGATATGTTAGCACAATGATCTTTTCTTCTTTCAGGGAACTATGCTTCTTACTTGGTGCCAGCAGCTGCTGTTGGAGCAATGGGGTATTGTTACATGTGGTGGAAGGTAAAACTATTTCATTTTGGTTCACAAGAAAACAAAACATATTAATCGACAAGGCGTACCGTTAAGTACTACGTAGAAATACATTTTTATTTCCTTTCTACTATCTGACAGGGATGGTCATTTTCAGACATAATGTTTGTGACGAAGCAAAACATGGCAAATGCTGTGTCGACTGTCTCGAAACAACTGGATCATGTGCACGAAGCGCTGGCTGTAAGTGGCTGGTAGACATTATGTAATGACCTTGAACTTGAAAGCTAGTTCATGTTTAATGCAATAACTTCAAATTTAAACCATTTTTGTGTTTAGTCAACAAGGAGTCATCTGACAAAGAGGTTGGAGAAATTGGATTGGAGGCTGGATGAGGAGATTGAAACAACAAATCTCATAGCAAATAATGTAAGACCTTACCTTCTTCCTATTTTCGAGTCTTGTTGTATATAATATTCTTAGGTAAACACACAAAGATGTCGTTAAACCTCGAACCACACTTTTTGTTGTCTAAACTATCTAATTAGATTCAGTATAGATTTTGTAACGGCCCAAGCCCATTGCTAGCGGATATTGTTCTCTTTGGGCTTTTCCTTTTGGGTTTTCCCTCAAGGTTTTTGAAACACGTCTGCTAGGAAGAGGTTTTCACACCCTTATAAGGACAAAATATGCTGAAAGGATCTCTATTGGTTTGTGGGGATAGCATTTGCTTTTAGAAGTGAAGAGTAAGTAAAGTGACCATGTCGTGGGGAATGTCGAGGCCATCAGATACCAAATCGAGATTCCAATCATGACCCAAATCATGGGCATGGATTGTTACAAATGGTATCGATACCTCTCCCAATAAGATGTGGTTTAGGGACGAACTAAGGCAGAAACGGGTGGGTATATGCCACCCGAATAAAGGAGGGGTACATGAATGAATCAGGACCATATCTGAATGAGAGGATCTCCTGGGGATAGGATGGCTAAGAAAGGCTTAAAAGAATCGAAAGTTACTACCTATTCTAACAAGATGCACCTTCTTTTTCGGTGGCTCAATCATACGAACTCTAAAACTAAACCTGCTTTGCTTAGAGCAATTCTATATTAGGTGACTTCCCAAGAATTTTCCTAAAAAACATACGAGTGAGAACAAAGTATGCTGAAATGACCTATGTTGGTCAATGAGAATAATCTTCACTCTTAGAAGCGAGGAGTAAGTAACGTGACCCTGTAGGGACATCCATTTCAGTTTACAACATTGATATTTCTCCCATTGTCCTTGTGAAACAAGTCATATTTGTGGAGCATACTCCGGTAAGCCACTCATTTGAAGCTTTATCTGCTTGCAGGTGGAGGAGGTTAAGTCCAACCTTTCTCAAATTGGTTTTGATGTTGAAACAATCCATCAAATGGTCTCACAATTGGTGAGTCACTCACTACCTTAAAACTCTTTCCTAGGGTGCAAACCACAGGCCGAGCTGTTCTTGAACGTCCACTGACCCGAACAACTAACAGGAAGGAAAACTCGAGGTTCTCGAAAAGAAACAGGACATCACAAATTCTGGACTCTGGTATCTATGTCAAGCTGCTGGAGACGTCAAAGACCGCATAACCGACAAGCTTTTCCCAGTGAGTAATTCTTTGCAGGCAAAAAAGACTGCAACGATCAAGTATGAGGACAACTCCCTCAAGGTACGAGAATAGTGCAAGAAAAAGTTGTATCTATTTCTGGACAGCATTTTGAAGAGCCCATTATTTGTTTCAGGGACTGCAGTTCATCGCTGAAACTAAAGAGACCAGCATCACGGCAGTGCCAAATGGAGTGAAGGGAAGCAGCCTTGACAACGGCAACAGCGAAAGGCTTCCTGTAAGAAGAACAAGATTGCATCGGTCATATCCTGTTGGGATGTCTTTGGCCCGAGACATTATGGGCTGTGATGCATAATTCTGTGTGTTCTCTGAAACCATTTTTTTGTCGAGAAGCATTTGTGCTATGCTTATAAAATAAGGCGTACAGGTTTTACAAACACTTCCATTTGTTGTATAAATTGTTTGAAGAAACTATGTCTCTTATCAAATCACATAAAGTTTGCATTTTTTTCTCTCGTCTCACAGACAGTGTTCTATCCCTTCTGTTCTATCTGATAAGTTTTGTTTATGAGATTTAACTAACAGACTTATAAACTAATCCAATCAGGTCTACTGTTAACGGATATTGTCCGCTTTGGCTCGTTACGTATCGTCGTCGATCTCACGATTTTAAAACATGTCTACTAGGGAGGGGTGTCCATACCCTTATAAGGAATGTTTTGTTCTCTTCTCCAAGGGATATGGGACCTCACAATCCACCCTCATTGGGGGTTCAACGTTCTCGTTGGCACACTGCCCAAAACTTGGCTCTGATACCATTTGTAATAGCTTAAGCCCACTGTTAGTAGATATTATCCGCTTTGTCTTGTCCCGTTACGTATTACCATCAACCTCACAGTTTTTAAATGCTTCTTCTAGGGAGAGGAGTCCATACTCTCGTTAGGAATGTTTTGTTCCCCTCTCCAATCGATGTGGGATCTCACAATCCACTCTCGTTGGCCCTCAGTGTCCTCGCTAGTACACCGCCCAAAACCTGGCTCTGATACCATTTGTAATACCCCCAAACCCATTGCTAGTATATTTCATTCGTTTTGGCATGTTACATATCGTCGTCGTTAGCCTCATTATTTTATAATGTGCCTGCCTCCCAAAAAAAACAAGTCTTTAGGAACATCCATATGTGTTTAGTTTCCATCGAAGGAGTTTTTTTTTTTTTTTTTTTTTTTTTTTTTTTTTTTTTTTTTTTTTTTTTTTTTTTTTTTTTTTTTTTTTTTTTTTTTTAAAGAAAATAATAATATCGTTATTATGAATATTTAATTAATTTATTATTATTTATTTTTTAATTCCTGAGCCGGGCCTGTGTTGACAACAATAGCAAGTTGGTTCAATGGCCCAAGATCTTTCGGGTTAGATTCGGGACCCGACTTTACCTTCTCCGTATACAAATGGAAAACGCAACCTAGGGCTTCCATTCTTGCGTTCTTGCCTCCACTTCCACCGGCTTCTTCTTTGCCTTCTCTTCTTTGGTGAAGGTAACCTAATTCCGTTTCTGAAGGTTAATATTATTATGTTTCTTTGTCATGTATTTATTCCGATTTTCCAACTTCTATGTGCGGTTGATCCTTTTCTGTTCGTTTATTCTCTTCCTCGGATTTGCTTGAAATATTGCGTTTTTCCGATAATTGTTTATTGGTCGAGGGTTATATGATATGTTGATGCGTTAGGAGAGATTTCAATGTTTTCTATTAAGATGGAGATCGTTGATTTTAGATCCTAGTTTTTTTTTTTTTTTTTTTTTCCTCTGTCGTTATCGATGAATTCTCTTGTTCGTTCTTTTTAAATCAGTGATCGAACAGAAATTCGATGTTTTGAGGCCAAGTTATGTAATTATGTATGCTGTAAGTTTATGAACAAATCATGTTACTAACGTGTGCAATACTTTATGGCCTCTAGAAATAGTAGCTGGTCGCTGCGATCCCTCTTTGTGTTCTTCGACCCGGGCCAAACCCCTGCGCTATCTCAGTCATGTCGTCCAAGCAAGGTATGATCTGTTTCCTCGAGGCTATGGAAAATTTGAGCTTTCTATTTCAGTTTCATAGGCAGTATCATCGATCAGATTAGAAGACAATTGCGAAGCGATTGGCTATATTGTGATATATAATCCCCTTTTTTCCCGATTTAAATTGTTATATAGAGAATCGATTTTGTTGTTGTTCTTTACAGGAGGGAAAGCAAAGCCTCTGAAGCAACCCAAGGCTGATAAGAAAGAATACGACGAGGTATGCTTTGAATTCATTATCTTTAGGTCCTATGTCGTATGTCTATTTTCTTCCTTGTTCGGATTTGAATGCAACTTTTGGTATCGATGTAATTTATTTTCTCTGTTTGAATTTAGATTGTTTGTTGTCAGTTAGAATGACTCTCCACCCTGTATCGTGCCCGTGCCCGTGCCTGTGTTACTTTTCGTAACTAGTGTTTGAATTTTACTGGGTTTTGTCAACAGGTTGATATGGCCAATTTGCAAAAGAAGAAGGACGAGGAAAAGGTGAGATCTTGAACTTCAAAGTTTAAACTGTGACAAAACGTTTCCTCTGATCGATTGATCGGTTGTGTCGAGGATTACTATGAACTATAATTTCGAGTTGCTTGATGATGTTATGCAGGCGCTCAGGGAGCTTAGAGCAAAGGCCCAACAGAAGGGGACATTTGGAGGTGCTGGACTCAAGAAGAGTGGGAAGAAATGAGTCCTCCTACGCCACATATGTTAGATTACTTGATCTTCAATTGCAGATATCTGATGTGTTTCTAAGCAATTGATTGTGTGACATGTTATCCTCTGCATGAAACCGAATAACATGAAGTCTTCAAACGCTTTACTATTTTCTTGTTGTGTGTAAAACCTGGAAGAAGATAATATTGCTATGGTCCTTGTTTCTGGAGTGGATTGATTAATAGAAGTCGAACCCTTTGCAATGTTCTAAACTATCTTCAGACCAAAAGCCAAATGAAATGAATCGTCGTAGGCTCTGCTTGGTTTTGGTATCGTGATTGCATTGTTTTGGATTTTTTGAACTTTGCAGCTTTATTGATTTCTTACTCGTTTTACTCGGGAATCACACTATATTTGAACTCTATTTTGCTTCGGAACTATGATGAATGTTTTGCTGAACCATGCTGCCTTCTTAGATAAAGTTAACCCACTTAGATGAATTTGTAAGGCATATGAAGGGAGTGAGGATCGTGATCCTCATGATTAATAATCACTCCAACAGAAAGGATGGAAGAAAGGATCTTTTGAGCCGAATGATACAGACCCACACATCAGAATAAGTGCGGTTTCCCTGTTAATCATATTATGACGACCTTCTCGAATAATCTCACCGATCAAAACGTGCTTATGTTTATTTTTTCCTTACCCCCACGAGAGCTCGATCAATGCACAAACTAGAGGGTTTTAACAAAAATCTAGCTTTAATATCGTGTATAAATTACAAAATTTATCCAAAGTTGTGGGTGTTCTCCAGAATTGAATAATTAATGTCCACCCAACCAGCTACGTTGTTGAGATTTGGGAAGAACACATAATACACAAGGTTCCCACATTGTGGTACTTGGCAAAAGAACATGAAGTTTCAGAAACAATTTGCCACAACATGAACGCTTGGACCCCTCTAACTACACACACGTCTCTTCTCAAGGTAAACGGCTATGCCTCAAAAGAAAACAAGAATATAGATATTCATCCAAGCAAAGGCTTATCTACACACAGCCACCTCAAATAAACCCCAAATTTAATGTAACATGTTCTGTCACTCCCTTAGCTGCTTGTGTTGTAGTGAAGCTTGGCCTGGGCTCTATAAATAGCAGCCAAAGGAAATTCCCTTAGAACATCACTATCCAGTTCTTCTCTGTTCTTTCCCGTTAGAAATGAAGTCCAAAGGTTTTCTGCTTGTGTGTCTTCTGGTTGTGTCTGCTTTGGTGGTGTCGTGGGCTATAGAAGCTCACACAAGCGAAGATGAGCAACAAGGTATTTGTTTGTACCATGATTTTAATCCATGTTTGCATGAAGACACGTAAGTAATCATTAATTTGATAATCCTCTAGTTTCAGAGAATGTAGCCCAGGAGGTTGAAGAGGCTAAACATGGGCATGGTGGCGGCGGTTATGGAGGCGGTGGGTCTGGCGGCGGCGGTCAAGGTGGAGGTGGGTCTGGTGGCGGCGGTCATGGCGGAGGTGGGTCTGGTGGCGGTGGTCAAGGCGAAGGTGGTTATGGTGGAGGTGGGTCTGGTGGTAGTGGATCTGGCGGTGGCGGCAAAGGAGGAGGTGGATCTGGTGGTAGTGGATCTGGCGGTGGCGGTAAAGGGGGAGGTGGATATGGCGGTGGAGGGTCTGGCGGAGGAGGGAAAGGAGGCGGTGGATACGGCGGAGGTGGAAAAGGAGGCGGTGGGAGTGGCAGTGGAGGAGGAGGGAAAGGAGGAGGGAAAGGAGGCGGGGGATACGGCGGAGGAGGAGGAGGAGGAGGAGGTGGAGGAGGAGGTTATGAAGAGAGTGAGTATACAAGAGGAGGACGAGGAGGGTGGAAGGGAGGAGGTGGAGGAAAAGGCGGCGGCGGTGGAAAAGGTGGCGGCGGCGGAAAGTGAGGGAATAGATAAGAAGTAAATGGAGTGTTTAAATAACTTTGAAGATAAAAATATAAATATATATATTAGGAGAATAATAATAATAATAATAATAATAATAATAATAATGGGTTTATGGTTTAAGAAGGAAGACGACGACCACACTGAAATAGTATACACACTTCAGAACCAGAAGCAAGCTGCTGCGTTATCCCATAAATGTATGCCTCTATGGCTCAGTGGCAGTTCTGTAATTTCAACCTAATAACTATTACTATTACTATGTATAAATATTAATACTAATATGGTGTTTAAACTTTTATCTCCCCCTCTTCCCTCATTTTATTTATTTATTTACTTTTTTATCATCAACTTTTATAACCTACCAAACTACAACCCTATGCACGTATACCACCAAACTACAATCATGCAAGCCTATTTTAGTTATTTTACGCTCCTACGTATTATTTATCGAAGGATTGAAGTTAAACCCGAGTACTACTCTAAAAAGAATGGGTCGTGGGTATGGTTTGATGTCGGCTATCTTTTTTTATCTAGTATTTCTTGGTCGTGAATATAGTTTTTCTGGATGGTGGTGGTCGTGAATACGGTTTTTCTTGATAGTGGTGGTCGTGAATATGATTTTCTTACCCGTTGATATTGTATTGTAGCCTTCCTCTAGAATTCAGTGTTTAGGGTTTTGTTTTGATCGTGTACCATAAAAAGAATTCAGTGTTTTGTTTTGATCGTGTACCATAAAAAGAGAATTCGGTGTGATATCGATTTTTTAAGATAATCGAAATATTCTCTTAATTTGAAAATGATTTAAGGAAGGATTTATATTTTTAAAGAAATATTGGGAAGTTATTTTTAGACCATATGCTAAATATTTATATATTTTAATTATGTAAATATAAATGTTAGTATGTTCCCTTTTCGACTATGTCTAAACTATTGCTTTCTCAATGTCCGAAGCGGCGTGATTTGTCGTCTTTCCAATTTACACCCAAATTTGGAAGAAAAAAAAAAAGACATAAAACAAAGAAGAAAACGACGTGTCGTCTGAATTTTTGTTGGTTTCTTAAAATACTCAAAACGCCGTATGCACATCTCATCTCATTCGCTGGCTGTTGGTTGGGGAAGCCATTTGCATCTCACGTGACCCAATTTTTATTTGTATATTATCATTCAAATATTTGTGTTTATATCCCCTAATTATGTTTTCATTTTATAAATTTTAATTATATATATAAAAAATATTTTTGTCTAACGTTAATTTTAAAATTTTATGAATATTTTTTTACTGAAATTTTCACGAAAGGATATTAATGAAATTTTAAATATTTTCGAACGTACCTAATTTATAAATATGAAATTAAATTATCCATAACTTAATCCCACCTAATAATGGGAATCTTGGACAAAAACCATGAACCTGAAAATTAGAACGTTGCTATTCAAATGTTCCCATTTTTTTTTATTTAAATAATTAATTTTAATTTTATTCTATTAAGCATATTATAGGGTGACCCATCAGGAGCTTGGTTGTATTATTTAAATATATATTATAATTAAATTGATTTTTCTCTTTAATTATCATATTTATTGATGGAATCGAATAAAACGATCCAGTTGCCGGGCCTCCACCCATTAATTATTTCTTCTAATTTGGATTTATTATACTCCCTTCTAAATCATGATTAGCTGGATTATTTCCCCATTTTATTTCTAATTAAATACCCTTTTCTCGCTATTTTTCTTTTTTAATTCATAATTTGTACGGGACAATGAATGAGATCACACATTGGTTGGAGAGAAGAACGAAACATTCCTTACAAGGGTGTGGAAACCTCTTCTTAATAGACATGTTTTAGAAAATTGTGAAGTTGATGACGATATATAATGAGCAAGAAGGAACAGTATATGTTAGCGGTGGGCTTGGACGGTTACAAATTGTATTAGAGTCAGATATGGAAGGGTGTGTAAGCGAGGATGCTGGTACGTGTTGTTGGGTTATTTATGGGAAAGGAGAAAGACAAAATGAAGAACCACAACGTGTGAAACAAAGAGGAACCTCTATGGTCGTGTTTTTCAAAATTAAAAATGAAAACTTTATTATTATTTAACCCTTTGAAAACAGCATCAACGGGAAACCCTCGTTGTTGTTCTTCATCTTCTTCTTCATCTGGTTCATCTGGTTCTTCTTCTTCTTCCCAAGAAGCTTCAAACGGCTATGAAGAGAAAGAAAAAGAAAGGCTCCATTTCTGCAGATTTTGAAGCTTTTCTTCTGCCTCCCATTTGAAGACTTCATCGTCAAAAACACACACACACCCACTTTGTCACGGCGGCGTACATGGGAAGGCCAGGCATTTTTTCTCTCTCTCTCTCTTTTTCCCCTTTTACCTCTCATTTTGCTTCGTTTTACTCCTAATTTCATGTGGATTTTAATCTACAGTTGCTATTATATACATATCGTGAACATTGAATGCAAAATTACTTCATTTAAACTTTCGTTGAAAACAACGTTTACTGGTATCATAATTTGGTTTAAAGCTCACCATTCCTTACCTAATCTTTGAGTTTTTTGAAGCATTATTACGAGGTTAGAATTGATAGAGCTTGTTTCCAATAATGGCAGTGAAAACAGGTGTATTTTTTTTTTTACGTATATTTTGTCTTCAGCACGTCATATCCCTTCTTTTTTTCCATTCAAGACTTAGAGAGCTCGAGGTGTTCGTAGATTGGGTTAGATTATTTGTCACGACATTTTCTAGACTCAACCTAATTATTCAAATTATAAATTTTTTAAACTAAACCCAACTCTCAATTGGTTCAAATTTTTGTTTTTAACATAATATTAATATCTATCTATTTATTTATTTAAAAGCTACCTTGAGAGAACAAATAATTGAAAAAATAATTACAAAAATTAAATAAAATTAATATATATATTTTGTATCACAAGTAAAAAAAAAAAAAAAATTAATATGAAAACACGAACGAACAAGCTTAATTTATAAATTTTGATTTATTTAAGTTTAATTTAAAGTTAATTGAGTTTTTCAAGTAATAAACTTATTTTAATCTCCCAAAGGGGAGGGCATGCAAATTCATTAATATTGTAATAAACTATATAGCCTTGCAGTGCGTGGTCCAAATTTATACGCCATGCGTTGCGCCCGAGGATCTTGTTGACTTTTACATTTTTATTTTCTTTATAATTTAAATATTATTATATTTTTTAAATTATTTTCCAATTAAAAAACTAAGAAACATAACAAAATATTTTAAAACATTTATTAATTGCCGGACGCAACGATATTAATTAGCAATAAAAGTTATTGTCGTGTGACTATGAATCATGTTTATTTTTTTTTATATATAATAAAGTTTATATGGGGAATCGGATTAATATTTTTTTTAATTGATTTATTCATTCTAGGTTTGATGCTAATTACCCTAGATAAATAGTAATTCATTAATTAAATGTCATAATTACAGGAATTAGGAGTAAATCATTATAGATTTTAATTATTAAGCTATTGTTATAATAATATGGGCTGTTTTATTTTTTAAATGACTATAAATTAAATGAAAATTAGTTATGAATTTATATAAATTATAAATAATTATTAAATGGAGAAATAAGAAAGGTGAAGATTACCAAACCGCCCTTAATTTTTGAGTGAAAATGAAGGGATTTGTCTTAAAGCCAAAACCAGCGATGTCAGTGGGATGTCTTCTGTTGTCGTTGATACACGTGTATCCGTTGTGTCCGTCGATTTTCGGGAAGTGATTTCAACGGTTCAGATTGAATTGTTGTTTGAGTGGGACCCACTAAATTAATCCGGCCCAACAGTTTGTGTTTGTTTTGTTTGAAAAGGGCCGGCCCATAATCCGGATCTTTACATCTGTCCAACTACCTTCCGGAATTTGTGAAGAGTGGGCCCCCATGGTCGCTGGTCCACCCAAAAAACATGACGTTGGCAAGCACACGTGTGAGACATTCCACCCTGGCATGCCCTCTGGGTTATGGACAAAGATGAGGGAAGTTCGCACGTGACACGGGTTTTTCGGGCCGGGTTAAGACACGGGTGGGGCCCACCTACCAGCGCATGGGCAGTTTGGTGATAAATCTCTTGTCCGAATGAAAAATACAATAAATTCACGTCCTAATAAAATAAAAATAAAGTTGATAATTATAAAAAATTATGAAATTTTAATCTCGCATATTTTTCTATTTAATAATTATGAGGTAAAAATTTAACGATCCATCGTTAAAATGGTAATTGATATTTTTGTCTATTAAATTATGTTTAAATTGAGAACGTGTTTGAATTTGGTACTCGTTTTATTGGCCTCCATGAACATATATTTTAAACAATATTAATTATGCAACTATTTATTATATTTATTGGTTGCACTTCTACGTCACTATGCCAACCAATTTTACTTAATGGAATTAATAAATAACCAAAAATAAATTATTGAAAAAAGCTGTCGATTTCCTTCTTCCACATTATAAAGTTCCGACATTTAAAAAATTTATAAACTTTATAAAATGTCATTTAAATCTAAAAATAAATATTTTAATTTTATGATTAACATATTTTTTTAATTTAAAAAGTATTTAGTATTGGATTAAAAAAATTATTTTCAACCCAATTATTATGGTAAATGAACACTATAATCTGATTCTTTTTTTTGTTAAAAAAAAAAAAACTACACTCTTATATTTCTATTGGTGGGAAAGAAAATAAAATAACTAGAAACATATGAAGTTGTTACATAGTTGTCGAGGATAATTTGGACATTTCACATATAGTAAGTTTCAAAATTTTACCAAATAAAAAAGCTAAATTAATAAAAATAGTCGTAAAATTTGTATTTTGTCTAAAAAAAATAATAAAATTTTTTAAAGTTTAAAAAATACCCATAAAAATTTAAAGATAACGTTAATATTCTTTACTTTTATTAAAAAGACAACCGTCTATTAACAGCTCATAGATTATCTTCAAACTTTTTAATGTTATTTTCGAG